CTGCCTCCCCCGGCACCTCCCAGTTGTGCTAACGCCGTGCCCACCGCCTCTCGGCACACGCCTGCAGGCCTCACGCCTGTCCACCCTGCTCCGCCGAGCGGGGTGCGGCGAGGAAGCTGGGCTCTTCATGAGAGGGAGGGAGACGCATGGGGGTGCAGCGGGCAGAGAAAAGCAGAGGTGTGGTGAAGGGGGGGTGGGGGGAGGGCACAGGGGAGGTGGCCCCTGGGCCGGCACCGGCTGCGGGAACCTCACCCTGGGCTGGACAGGAGGGCCAAGCCCGGGCGAGCCCCCTCACCTTCACGTTCATGAGCAGCTCCCAGAAGTTTCGAGGGGGCAGCACAATGGTGGTGTTGAGCTCGATGACATAGCACTTGTCCAGGGAGATGTCGTGGTAGGCGGTGAGGCCCTAAGCCGGGGAGGGGCCCCGTCAGTCCCTGCAGGCGAGGGTCTGGCCCCCGTGGACTCTGAGGCACGAACCCCGGTGCAGCGCAATGCACCCCAAACTCCTGAACACGCAGGTGGCTGCCTTTAGAGGGGCCCCTGCCGCAGCTGTTACCAGGTCCCCTGGGCTTACAGAGCTGAGGTTTGGGGAACACGGTGCCATCCCAATTTTGCATTTTATCAAACCCGCAGGCCCGGGCACCCCTGCGGCGGTCTGGAGCTCCGTGAGCGGCCGGTCCCAGGCACCCTCGGGACTGTGGCTGTGAGCACGTCCAGGCCTGGGGGGGTCCCGGGAAGTGTCGGGGGGCTCTGGGCAAGAGCCAGGGGCTTCTGCTCGCTGGGCCTGGGTGGTGTCCCGTGGACGTGCACCTGGTGGCCGACGCAAGGAGCCTGGCGCGGGCACCCACGCGTGCAGCCGCGAGCAGAAAGCCACCCCGCAGGTCCCGCGCCGCGACAGCTGGTCACCTCGGGGAGCAAAGCCCCCGCGCCCCGAACCCCCACACCCAGTTGTAGATCAGGGTGTCGGGTTCTCTCCCTCGGGAGCCTTGGGGGAAGGGCTCCGGGTCCTCCAGGCCCCTCGCCCGCACCCCCAGGCCCGGCGCCTCACCCGCTGGAAGTCGTGGATGATATCTGCGGGGTCGCCGCCCCCAAACTGAGGCACCGGCACGTTGATGCGCTCGTAGTTCTCCTCCAGGTAGATCTTCACGTCCTCCTCCAGCTCCATGCGGGCGCGCATGCGTGAGGACAGGGAGTCCTCGTAGAGCACCCCGCAGTGGAAGAAGTTGTCTCGGGCCAGCTGAGGGGCCAGGGACAGACGGACGTCACGGGCGCCCTGACGCCCCGGGCCCTGCTCTGCGGGACAGCTAACTGGACGGCCTCGAGGGCCTCGGTTTCCCCGTCTGTTCACGCGAGCACCGTCCCCTTCTAGTCTCTGAGTCTACAGCTGAAATGGGGAGGGCGCAGCTCCCCGGTGGCCCCACGGCCACAGACAAGTTGGAAGAGCAGGGGTGGGCGGGACGGTCCTGAGGGGCAAACGGAGGACACTGAACTGGACAGGCTGGGCCCCCTGCAGAGGGGAGGGGGAGCTCCCCATCTTTCCTGCTGCCCTGCTGTGCGGCCCTGCTGACCCTGGGGGGCCCCCAGAGGTGGGGGCTGCTGAGCAGCCCAGTCAGATGGTGGTGGAAGCACCAGGCCAGCTCCAGGCCCAGCACCTCCCCGGGCCCCCAGGCCTCAGCAGCCAACCCGGTGACCCCATCCCTCAGGGAAGGGACGCAGTGGGTGGGGGCTGGGCAGACTCCCCTCTCTGGGGACACGCCCAGGGAGTCCACCGCACGTGGGCCCCTCCCTGGAAACTGGGGCAGCAGCACAGAGCGGACATCAGGAGCTGAAGGGGGGGAGGGGAGGGGCCCTACGAGGAGGGAGTGGGAAGCGGCCGTGCCGGTGGGCACAGATGACCACAGCAGCAGGCCCCGGGCGCTGGGAGCCGAGGCTGCGGGGGAAGCCCGCGGAATCCACTCTTCAGTGATTTCCATCGCGAGAAAACTGGGTGACAGATCACAGCGCGGTGCCCGAAGGCGCGAGGCGGGCACCAGAGCGGGAACGGGCGCCTTGCCCGTGGGGGCCGCGACAGCCCAGTCCTGCCTGTGCTTGGGCTCCCGTGAGCGTCACCTTTAACGCGACTCCCTGGAGTCCCAGAGCTCGGTGCACCGCCTGCTGCCCAGGGCGAGCTCTCCAGCTCGGTGCCAGGCTGGCTGGGGCCCAGGTAAGAGGGCCATGAGCTAAACCCACCCCTCGCCTTTGCTCTGGGCCCCGAAGGTCAAGCCTGGACTCCTGAGACCGGCGTAGGCCCAGTCTCTAAGAGGACCGTGGCGTTCCCGCGGGTGACCAGGGCTGGAATCCGGCAGGGGTGCAGACTGGGGGGCCAGGCCTGTGACGGGAGGGCTGGCTTCCCTGCCCCTGACGTGGAAAGTGCCCAGTGACCCCAGACACGCCTGGCGAGATGGGTAAGGGCCCTTCTTCTGGCCCGGGAGGTCGGAGGATGGGGCCAGGTCCTGCCTCAGCTCTCCAGGACAGAGGCTGTGGGGGGCAGACCTGGGTACCCCTCACATACAGGGCACCTCTGGGCTTCCTGGGGTCTCTTCTATCATGGGCCCGCCATAAACTGCGTTCCTCCGTGGAGACCACCTCCGGGCCCTGCCCGCCTCCCCGGCCGCCTCACCTGGGCTAGGAAGAAGTATCTGTAGATGTAGACGGAGGCGAACACCAGCCCCATGAGCAGCACCACCATGCCCATCGACAGGTAGCAGACGCTGCCCACGGAGCCCCCCTTCTTATAGCGGTGGCAGGGGGGCCGCTCCTCCTGCGGAAGCAGAGCAGAGTCAGCCAGGGGAGTCAGACGCGGCTCTGTGAGGGCACCAGGCCCGGGAACCAACAGCAGCCGGGAACGGGGCGGGCGGGGGTCACTGCTCCGGGAAGCGGGGAGCCACGGAGACTCTTGAGCAGGGGAGTGGCCAGTCACTGGACGAGTGTTCGCAGGGAGACTGGGGTGGGCCTGGGAAGGAGTCAGGCTCCGGCGGGGCGTCACGGCGGGGACCGGTCACTGACTGATGGAGACGGGGCTCGGCAGCTTGGGACTGGGCACCGGTTCGTGTCGCCCTCTGACCCACAACGGGCACAGCGCCCAGCCTGCCCGCAGCGGCCAGTCCCGCAGCAGCAGCCGTGGCCCAACAGGCTGCCCGGAGTGGGGCCTGAAGGCTCGTGCGCCAGGGCACCCCCACGGGGAGAGAAGGGAGCCATGGCCCTGGACGCAGGGGCCAGGCAGGGACTCCTGGGAAAAACCTGCTCTGGGAGCTGGACCCAGCCGCTGGGCCGCCAGGGAAAAGCCAGTAGACGGGACCCAGCTCCAGGCCACACGTGCCAGGGCCGGCAGAGGACGGTGCCAGCAGAGCGCCCAGGAGCTGGGCGACTCCAGGCCGGTGCTTGCAGCCCCTGGCCAGACCTCCGCCTTCCCGCCCGCCCTCCACCATCCCCCACCCAAACCCAGACCTGCACCCCAGGGCCCCACCCAGCTGGGGCAGCATGGTGGGGGGCGGTGTCCAGCAGGCACGAGCCAAGCCCTCTGGGTGCTGCACCCCTTTCTCCTCCACCCTCGGACCAAGACTCGGCTCAGGTCCCAGTTACCCAGGACAGCGGCGGTCTCTGGGCACAGCGCCACACGGGGGACCCCCGTGCTGGGGGTGGGGCGCAGCACATGCTGGCTCCCCCAGTCTGCTCTCCCCTGGCTGCTAGGGATGTGGGCCCGGGTCACGGAAGTGGAAAGGAGTCTGCGCAGAGCAGGGGGTGCCTCCCACATGGGGCTTCTCCCCACTTCCAGTAAAGGATGGCCAACCCCTGGAGGACCCGCCCTCCCTGGACACACCCCTCCCCAGGCCAGCTGGGCCCAGCCTGCCCCAGCTATACACTGCAGGACCAGGACAGGGGCGAGGTGCCGGGCTCACCTGCTCCCCACACCCCCAGGGAGCGGCCCAGGAAGCACAGGCCTGCCGCAGGGCTCTGGGATCAAGACCAGAACAGCGAGCTTGAGACACCTGCCTGGCTGGCATCTCCCTGGCACCCTGGGGACACGGTGACTGGCACACATGCCACAGGGCCACGGGCCAGTTGTGCTGACAGGGCTGCAGTGGCCCTGACTGTCCAGGGGATCCCCGGAAGCAGAGCGGCCGGGCCAGTCCAGCCCCACAGCTGCTGTGAGCACCCCAGGAGGCTTTCGGTGGCCCCGGCTGCTCAGCACATCCCGAGAAAGCGCGTTCGGACAGGTGAGGCCCCCACACCTGCCGCTGGGAAGGGGCTGTGGGGCCCGAGACCCAGAATCAGGGCCTGGGGTTCTGTGAAATGTGAAGAGAGCTCCCTGGCCGGGCCTCTGTCGGGATTACAGGAGACGGAGCACCGAAGCCCTCTGCAAAGGATAAAGTGCTGGATAAAAATAGCAGCGCTGTATCGGGGAGTCTGCCTGCCCAGGGCCACCTCTGGGGACGGCTGCTGAGCTGCACAGTGGCCTGGCTTTTCGCCTGCGATTGCTTTAATGAAACAAGTAACATAATGGGGGGAATCAGCAAAGTACAAGGGTGCACCCCAGAGCCTGCTGCACAAGCTGAGCTCATGGACAAGGCTGAGGGAGGCCTGTCTGGGCCTCCTGCTGGCCCAAGTGGCTAAGTGGGGGGGGGGCCTTGAGTGGCCCCAGTTGACCTGCAGAGGGGGCCAACAAGGAGAAAGCCTTTAGCTAGGACTCCTCCCCCAAGTGTCCACACCTACCTCTAGGGGCCGGGACCAGGTCCCACCTTCCAGCCCCGGCAAGCACCCCCAGGGGGCTCCCAGCCCCCCCTAGCTATACCCCTGGTGCACTCAAGGCTCCCTCCCTGCCCCTTCCAGGCGCACACCCCCCTTGGAGACAAGCCCCCCAAGCACCCTGGGCAGCAGCAGGGCAGAGCCAGCCACACTAAAGGCTCTCGGGACTTAGAGCTCAGCAGCAGGGAGGGCCCATCCTGCCCCGACCCGGTCCAGACCCTGCTCCCTCCCTCAAGGCCTGGGAGAGCTGTGGGTCAGCCAGGGCCATTATGGCCGTGGCTGTCCTGGGCCACCCAGCTCACCCTGTGGGGCTTCCCTGGCTGCTCTGGACACCCAGGAAAATGCCCCACCGCCGCCACCATCCTGGATGGTGCCCCCAGGCGTGGGGGATTCCGCAGACAGGAGAATACCATAGGAGAAAACTGCTCCCGTTTCCAAGGCAACTGGGTTTCCTAAGCACAGAGCCTGCAGTGCACTGTGGGGGCAGGTGAGGTCTCAGGTCTCCTGCCTCAGAGGTGCTTATGGGGGAGTTCGCAAGGCCTGGGTCCGCCCCCTCCGGCCCAGGGCTGTGACCAGGCCTGCGGGAGCATTCACTGTCCTGCCAACCCTGGGTAACAGGGCTGAATGGAGACTGCAATGGGGTGGCCTGATGGGGAGGAGAGGGCCGGACACCCCGGCTCCCAGCATCACCTCACTTCCCAGCAGCTTCCTCCAGGTTGTGGACTGAGAAGTAACGGCCCCAGTGTGTTTGCTCAGAGGCAGTACCTTGTGTGAGGGAGGGGCCTGACTGGGTGCGGGGCAGACTGTCCA